AAGGGGCTTATATTTCTTGTGAACTTCTTGTGCTGATTTTAACTTTAGAAAGCTCTCCTGTTTTCCATGTATGAACAAGCATGAGAAATGTGAAGGGCAATCAGGTATGAGATGTTGTCAAGTATGTGACTTGAGGGACAAGTGATCTATGTGAGCCTGAAGGGAATCCTGGGATTGAGAGAGCATGCAGAGAAGGCACATAGGTATGCTAGGGCATGGAGGTTGTACAGAGATGGATAGGGAGAAAATTTGAGTGATAGAGGTTTTCTATATGGTGGGAGTAGTGTGGGTTGGCGTCTATCAGGGGAGACCAACTGACCATATCCCCTTGTTCACTTTTAGCCACAAGTACAAGGCTATAAGAACTCAAGAGGTCATCTAAGTTATTTCTGGCTCTGTCAGGTCAAATGACTACTAGACTATCCTGGTTTCTAATTTGAAATGTATCCAAAGAAGATTCCTGTCTCACCCTCTGCAATCCACTTGCATGTCTGACCACACTCAATACCTACACAATCTTCACTTTGTCTAGCCTAAATTCTTCTAACTGTGGTCTAAGGCCTTGGAAGAATGACGCCTCTGTGGGGTAAGAACTGCCTTGGTGGCATGAGAAAGGCAGCCCTGAGCGATCTGGAAGGGCTGTTGCAAGGGGATAGGAGTACTGAGGCCTTTTCCAGTAAGAATACACAGGACTATGGAGACTCTTGTTTTACTAGAAACCTTCTTCACAGATACCTTAATCTAGGAAGAAAATGCCTTTGGTTCTTGGTTCTACTATTGGCTTCAAATTCGTGGGCATGCCAGACCCTACTGAACATCTTGACACATGTCCTTTCTTCTCTGAACTGGCCCACAGGCATGATGAGTAACCAGAGGGGGCCCAGCAGGTACTGATGATGGGTGTGGTCCCTGTGTTATTCGGTCAAAGCAGCAGAATCTCAAACTTAAGACTGATCCTGTATGCCAGTTGGGGCAGGATGAACTCAAAACATCCTAGGAGAAGAAGAAGGTCTCCTGAGGAGGCTCTGCAACCAGTTAGAAAAGTGAAATCCCTCCAAATTAGAGTGGCACGGCGTTGGCATCCAAAGGAATGGGCATCATGGAGAGCACAAGTGTCCCACTCTGTCCATTTTCAGATGGACATCACAAGCAACCCTCCCTTAGCCCTCTGTGGGAGAGCTGACAATAATAGCCAACATCGATTGAGCATTTCTGTGTCCCAGTCCTGTAGCGAACGCTTGACATACATTATCACAGTTAATCCCTGCAGTATTAACAGAAGGCAGGCAGGCGCTATTCTCACTCCCATTTCACAAATGAGAAAGTTGAAATGGAGAAAGAACTACCTTTTCTCAAGAACATTCAGTAAGTGTGGATTCAGCCCCCAGGGCTGCCCACTACTCTTACCAGCCAGGGCTCTTACCCATGTGACATCTTGCCCCCTAGACGGCATGGGCAGCATAGGGTAGGGTGGCTCACCTAGGCACTCAGTGCTGCTGACACAGGGTGATGCCAAAGACGCAGAAACACATGGGAAAAGTGACTGCCATTTCTAGGCTCTTAAAACAGCCTATAAAATAAATAGGCAAATCAAAATTGTATGCCATCTTCGTGGTCAGAAAACGTTGCTATATAACAATTGGGCTCTAAGAATCAAGTGGTGCAGGGAGAGAGTGCAGAACCAATTTACTCCACTAGGGAGTAAAGAGTCAGGAAGCAGGAGGAGGGAAAGAACAGTTGGCAGGGCGATGGAGGTAAAGAGACAGGGATAAAGCCCAGGGTGGTTCCCTTAGCTTTGGTTCCAATTCAACACAGGAAAAGAAGGAGACTACAAAGCTCCCTTTACAGCTGCACTCTGGCCAGCTTTGACCAACTTGCAACTCAATTCAGAGGAACATCTCAGCAAAGGGCTCATTTTCATCGCAAACATCTACTACAGTTGTACTGGAGTCTTATCCTTGGATGACGTAAAATGAGAAGTTACAGGGCCCAGTGTGACCCTGAGCCAGGGGCAATCACTGTGGGCTGTCTAGTCATTTTAAGTCAACATTGCTAGATTAAGCAACCAGGATGACCAAACCTGGGAACAATGAACAGCTTTATCATGTTGGCATGTGAAATGGTCAAATCTGTGGCTGGAATATTTTCAAGGCAATCTGCACTCAATTAAGATCCGGGGTGTGGTGGCTCATGTCTGTAATCCTAGCACTTTGGGAAGCCCAGGCGGGCAGATCATCTTATGTCAGGATTCGATTAAGATCAATAAATGATAAATGGGATACTTTTATTTTTGCTTTATTTTTTTGAGACAGGGTCTCCCTCTGTCGCCCAGGCTGGAGTGCAGTGGCGCAATCTCAGCTCACACTGCAGCCTCCACCTCCAGGGTTCAAACTATTCTCCTGCCTCAGCCTCCTGAGTAGTAGGGATTACAGGCGCCCACCACCATGCCCGGCTAACTTTTGTTATTTTTTAGTAGAGATGGGGTTTCACCACATTGGCCAGGCTGGTCTTGAGCTCCCGACCTCAAGTGATCCACCTACCTCGGCCTCCCAAAGTACTGAGATTCCAGGTGTGAGCCACCGTGCATGGCCTATTTATGCTCTTTTCTTTGCTAACAAGTTACACCAGCTCAGCTCCATAGCTGTAAACACGCAGCTGCCAAGGTAGGTTCCAGGCCGCGCACCTTCTTCTTGATGCTGCTTCATGAGCCGGTGGGGTGGGTGATGAAGAGTTACTAAAACATGAAGTGGCTCCTCTAGGAGGGAGAAAGGACTGGAAACTCCACCAAGGCTCAGGAGTGACCTTAAGGGTTCAGATGGGACTCACGGGATTCAGAGCAAGCCAGACTATTTCCTCTTCCCCTGCCTCGGGGAGGCTGAAGTCCCCATTGCATCACCCTGGCTTGCCCCAGTTCCAAGAACTGGGGTTAGCAGCTCCAGCCCCTTGATATGCAAATCATACAGTCCCATTGCTGATAAACTGTTCTACCCATAGGAAGACTAATATTGTCCTGCCCAGCTGGCAGTTTATCTTGGTGCTTCCTGCCAGCCCCACAAAGGTGGAAAAATAGAATTTGCTTTCATAGAAAAACTTCACTGAAGTGGGCTAAAAGTAGGGACCCTGGAGTTAAACTGCTTGATCCAAATTCTGCTTTAGTTGTGTGACTTTAGACAAGTGACTTAATCTCTTTGTACTTCACTTTCCCCCATATGTACAATGAAACTGAGAGTACCCACCTCATGGGGGGTACTGAATAAGTAAATACATTTAAAGTATTTAGAACAGGGCTTCACATATCATACACATGCAACATGTTAGCCATTAAGTGAAAGCACCTTTTGCAGTCAAAGCCTGATCCACATCCCAAAGCAAAGGCTTGAAGTTATTGTCCTTTCAAACACTGAAGACCATGTGTCTAATTCAGTTAGGTCAGTGTGGAATAGCTTGGGAGAGTAGGAGCAAATGGATGAGGACTGGCTGGGAAGGACAGTGGGATGATAAGGCCTGAGGATGTCTTAAGATGGACCTGAGGGAGTGAAAGTTCCCAATGTGACCTCGTCTTGACCTCCATGCTGCCCACTGTGCTGAGGGAAGCCAGCAGCCCCAGCGGACTCTGGCCCAGCTGCCTGAAAGGCTCACTACCTGTTCCGTGCCAGCCTTCTTCAGGAAGTGTGGGCAAGACAGCCTTGTGATCCCTTGGAAGTGGATGCCAGGTCTAGCAGAACGGAAGAAAGATGTGAAGTAGAATTATAACCAGGAATTGAAGACTCGTTTGAGCTTTAGGTAAATATCCTGTATATCTTCTCTCTTCTCAGATATAAACATTAGCTGTTGAATAACCTGATAGGCATGGAATGAATAGCCTCAAAAGAATGGACTGAACTCAACTGGGGAACCCAGGAAGTGGGCTTGAGAATCAATTATGAAGAAGGAAGTTGCTGAGTGATCACAGACTTACCAAAGACAGTGTTTTGGCTCTGCGTGGCTATGATCATGAGTTTTGTGAATGAAACAGGAGGCATGCTTTATTTTTCGTGGTTCTTTACCAGAGTGGAGTTAACCATACCAAAAAGCTAATCAATCCCACAGAGCAATAGAAGAGCCAAAGTAGAGGAGCTCTGAAGGCCAAAAACGTCCCAAAGTCAGAATGATCTCTCCCTTTCCCAGACTAGAGCATCAAAGATTTAGACCCTAGACCTGGGTCTACTCTTCATCAAGCCCGAACCCTTTGGGAAACCAATGAACTCAACTTCTCTGAGCCTTTCTCCCCATTTGTAGTATGTACTGCAGTACTCACACTATCATCAGTGGGAATAGTGGGCATGTCATGAAGATCTAGTGGCATGATGTGGGTGAGAGTGATGACTATGAGTGCTAAGTGCTACACAAATGGAAAGGGAAACTCCTAGCTACTCTATTCATTCAAAAGTAAGTGTTCACATTGGAATGCAAAAAAAGAACCTATGACAGAGAAGAGACTGTCGGTACTAGCCAGCTACTCCTCAGCCGCTCTGTAATTCCCCATCCCATCTGTAGTTAGAGGGAAGCCGTGTTTTAGCCAGTCAGTGTGAGAAGAGGTGAGGTGTGTCCCTCCTAGGAGAGGTAGGCAGGCAGCTGGTGCCCCCTCCATGTCTCTTCCTTGCTCTGGAGACTTTGGAAAGCTACATTTTCCAGATGGTGTAGTTATAAGATGGAGGAGGATTGTTGAACTTACATGCCATTTTATGTGAATGAGAAATAAACATTTATGATGTCTAGCCCCTGAGATCTTGAAGGTTGGTCTGTTACAGCTATGCCTAGCAGTCACCACCCTCATTCAGGACAGAAGTTTTGGTAAGAGACAGGCCACATCTACTTCAGAGAATCACAGAAGCTTACACCATTCTCTCCTCTCAGGAATTTTCTGTGAGTTGAGTTCTACCCATTCTGCTCGAGGTTTTATTTTGATTGGAAATCTACTGTCTTAGTGGGAAGGAGACAAATCATTCTAGTCAAAAAACTGCCTTTTGCTACAAAATGCATTTATTTCCAGTCAGACAAAATTCTTGAACTGTATATTCGGGTACATATTATAAGGTCATCTTTGATATATGCCCTGTTTACAAGATCCATTTCTAATTATTAAAGTGAATATCAAACACACATCTTTGCATCTTAAAACATAAATAAACTGCTAATGTTTATAAGCCATAAATCTGGTCACTGACATGAGTGGCCTGCAATTCTTCAGTGATGAGCACACAGTGATACAGACATGATCAGATTCCCCAGGTAGGCAGGCAGCAGGCACCTGTAATTCGCCCGCTGACTGTGCTGCTGTGGCAGTGACCCTTCTTGTGAAAAACGAGTTATGTGCAGACAAAAGTGTGACATATGCAATGTGGAGAGGCATTTCACAGAATGCAAACACCATTCAGGTAAATTAGTAGACTCCAGAATGAATGAAAGCTTAATGAATGCAAACCTGTTGTTTACAATACTGGGTATTGTGGCACCTTTTCACTGGACACTTTAATAAATATCTATTAAAGAAAGTAAGGATAAGAGAAGAAGCTGAAGCAGTTGTCTTGGTGCACAACATATTTTCAAGATTGGGCTTTAGGTTTTGAGTTTCAGAAATACCATTTTTTCTTTCTTCAGAGTAAATCATTCTATTTGGAAAGCCCTTCATTTTCTTAAAAAGACCTTTAAATTCTTCATTAGCATTAAGAGACTTCTTGTAGACTGCCAGGAATTGGGGTTCATTGGCTTAAAGAAGAGCACAGCACAGTTGACAGAAAGTCTTGGTTTGTGTCTTGAATTAAGAAGCCTGATTGGCTCAGAATTTCTCAGATCTACTTTATCCTTCACACTTTCCCTCCTTTTGGCTCCTGTTAACATCCCAAGCCCATAGCCACAGACGCTCATAGGTGGAGCAGTATACTTCATAAAATCTCATTTCAGTATCAACGATTTCTACTGCCACGGCTCCCTCTGGACTCGAAATAGTTGATATCTTAAAGTTTCATCCTTCACAGAGTTCTCCACTTGCTCCCTGAAGATAAGGTTCTTGTTCTAAGGCTGATGCTGGGAAGGTCCCATAGAGGAAATTCCTAGAAAATCTCTATTCCCTTCGGGTTCTTGTGCCCTCTTTCTCACTCCCCATAAGGCTACGGTTGCAATTCTGAAGACACGTAGGAAAAGTTTCTAAACTCATCCTGGTTAATCATTGGAAGATGTCCCTCATCAATTGGAGTTAAAACTGGCTCTTCCTTTATGAAGTCAGGGTCAAAATTACTGACATCTTCTCGGGATTTCTGCCAAAAAAAGGGAAACAAGGGTCAGATTTTATGCGCTTGAGGCTTACTCATCTTGCATGGGACATAGCCCATTCCAGTGAGTTCAGAGGAGTGCTCTGTAGCTTGTTCAGTAGCATTATTTACACTTATTGTTATGATTAAACCGTGCTTTACAGCAAGTCTACGGCATGGTGCATTATTATGGCATTTGGCAACCACCAATTCACTAATTCCATGAAAATCTTGCTGAGCAGGCCTGTCTTAATAGGAGGCTAAGGATTAATTTGGTCATCCAAAAGCAGCTGGCTCACTCACCCTTTATTCTCATTTCACCAAGGTGGCATTTCCCAGCAGGCCTCGCTGAGGGGTGTGCAGCTGTATTTGTCAACAGAGGTTGGTAGGTTCACATTTGTCCTACCTATTGTTTGCACAGAGTTCTATACATTTGAAGAGATCTTCCCAAAAGGCTTCTTGGAAGTGCTGAGCTTAGGGAGTAACTGTCGGTCATTTCACTCTCTAGGTAGATGCGTTACGCCCTGCTGGACCAGCTGTGCAGTCAGGACTACAGGCTCCAGGCTCTGAAGGCCATGCTCTCCCTAATCCCAGGGGGGCTGGCAGGGGGCTGACCACTGAAGGAACGGCTTTACCTCTGGGTGCCTGGCATCCAACAGCCTAGTAGGCTGTTAGTGATTAAGTGCACTGTATGTTTTTAAAAGTTGAGTATTTTATATTTGTATAAACAAATGCTGCAAAGATCATTTCTAAGTGAGTATTACACATTTCACTGCTCTTACCTGGATCAATGATATTTCTTTATCACTCTTTTTTTTTTTTTTCTTTTGAGACAAAGTCTCACTCAGTTACCCAGGCTGGAGTGCATGACGCAATCTCGGCTCACTGCAATCTCCACCTCCTAGGTTCAAGCAATCCTTCTACTTCAGTTTCCTGAGTAGCAGCGATTAGAGGCGTGCATCACCACACCAGGCTTTTTTCTTTCTTTTTTTTTTTTTTTTTGTATTTTTAGTAGAGACGGGGTTTTGCCATGTTGGCCAGGCTAGTCTCAAACTCCTGACCTCAAGTGATCCGCCTGCCTTGGCCTCCCAAAGTGCTGGGATTATAGGCGTGAGCCACCATGCCAGGCCTCCCAATCACTCTTGATCTATCGCTAGCCTGGCTTCTCTGCCTTCCCACTGTGGAGCTCTTGACCCACAGATGAGCACGAGCTCAGCTCTCAGACCACAAGCGGGACCACCCTCTGGAAGCCCACCCCCTCAGCTGCAGAGCTTGGAGAGGAGCCCCTGGAGCTCCCAGTATTTCTTTGGTCAAAGGGAGCTTGGCCTGGGCTCTGCACTGCAGCAGCTATTCCAGACCCAGGCTCTCCCAAGCCAACAGGCCAGGCTCAGTGAAGTAAGCAACGTCTCACACCCTCTCTGCTTTCTCAGGGGCTTAGAAAAGGCATAAAAAGTGCCCCAAGGAGCATAAGGAAATTGGCTAGAAAATGACTTTCTCAATTAGCCAAACTCTTTTGGGGAAACCTGCAAAGTTTCAGGCCTCTTCTACCCTACAAGATTTTAATTTAGGTTAAGGGAAGTTGGAGATTGGGTAAACGAGAGGTGAAACTTCGTAAGAATTAACCTGGGCACATGAAGACATGTTGTCCCATGGACAAGGAGCCCAGGTTCCCCCCAGGGGAGGCTGCCCTGTGCAGTGACCGGCTGAATTTCTGGTCTGTCACTCACAGGGGCTATCTAGCTGTTCTATGGACTTTGGTGGAATGCTGTGACATCTGAAGAAAGGAAAATCTCTGTGACAGCCTGGGACACTTACGATTCTGGGTCTGAAAGGTGGTTCCAGTTGGCGATGGTTCAGCTGGGCCCAGTCGATTTCCTTAAAAAACGGATGTCTCAAGATGGCGTGCTCACCTCCCTGAGTCAGGCTGCCCAAGCGCATGGTGGGGTTCTTGGTCATGAACTGAGTGAGAGAGACAGAAAGTGTCAATCATTCATTCACGTACAACCAGCATGTCACAAGACAGCAGGCATCAGCCATGGCAGAGGAGCTGTGCGAGACTTTCTGGCAGGTCTTGCTTAACTAGCTGGGTTTTCCATCACAGGCAGCACAGTCAGTATGAATCATGCCTTAAAGGCGCGATTGCCTGTGTGGATTTATGGCTTTTCCCACTTCCATTTCAGACATGGCCACTAAAAGAAAGCAGGAGGGTCCAGTTTTCTTTTCTGTAAACACCATGTATTTTTCTTTCCTCTTTAAAGAAAAGAAGCTCTTTATAACAGTGTGCCTTTCCCCAGCACTGCAGTTGTGGGCAGCAGACATCTTCTGAATGGGGCTACTTTCAGAAACAGCTGTGCCATTTTTCTGAGTGACCTGACCAGCTGGCCAGGATTCCCGCTCTCTGACGAGACCGCAGAGAGGAGAGAGAGTCGTTATTTTTGAAGATCTGTGTGCAGAAGCAGCAAAGGTGACATACTGAAAAGGTCTGTGTCCTGGCTCTAGAAAAAACCAAGTTGGCCACTTTTCTTTATGCAGTGAAGATATCCTAGCTCTAGATGAAAGGCTTTTCTTCAAGATGTTCCCCCCACCGCCGCTGTTTTGAAGTAGGTTCAATGACTGAGATTCCATTGCTCCATAGACCAAAAACTAAAATGAGCACTGCCACACAGCTAAGCAATGTGTGCACACAGCTTCTCCGTATTTCCATCAGTTGGGAAACTTCCTTACTGCCGGGTTCCTATCAAAATATGCTGGGCTAAATCTGCTTTCACAAAATAGCCAGGAAAGATGTTCTGATCACTTCCTGAGCAAGGACTAGTACAGGATAATTCACTTTTCATGGCCGGAGTGTGGTTCTCAATTTCAAAGACATTGAAACTAATTTCCCATATTGAAAGAAAATTGTCTTGGATAAAAAGTTTTGTTTTTGTTTTTATTTAAATCAAGCTATCTTTAAATAGACTTATGACAGTCCCCAAGCACCTCTTTCCAAATCTGATTTGTGAACAAGACAAAAGTAATGCTGTGTTTATAGAAATTGTTTTGGAGCAGAATTTACAGAGAAAATCTTGTTGAAGGTGCAGACATGGAAAGACGGTATTTGGAGGTGGCCCCCCCTGCCATGCCAGGTGTCCAGAGGTGTCAAGCTGCCAGTGTCAATTCAAATGAAAATGATAATGTTGAAGGAGGCTGCAAAAGTTTCTAAGCAACCTGATGGGATATAACCTTGTAAAATGCTTTCAAAAAAGCTTCAAAGGGCAGCTAATAAATGAATATACTGACAGGGTTCAATTGCTTCTCCTCTCTCCTAGTAACAGGGATTAAAAGACACAGGTGGTTCTGGGTTGGAGGCAGGACCCAAAAGTAAAAGCAGCATTCAGAGCGCCACAGGCCCAATCAGAGCAGCTGCCATTCGAGGCACTTACAGTGGTCACTGGGGATTCAGGAGATGCATATCTTATAAGTAACTCAGTTCTGTAAGAGCTAGGAGTTAGTTCACACTACGTGGGCTCTCACTGAGTAAGCCTGTGCAACGCAGGCAGGAAGGGGGAAAATGCTTACAAAAAAGAAATGAGTAGATTCTTGCGTTAGGAAAGTCAACGGGATACAATTCCTGATGGAAGAGCAGTTGCTATTCTAAGAGCCAGTTAACAAAAAATAATGCTGCAAAAAACTCGGGAGGCAGGACGGCAGAACACACCCAGATGGCTTGTGGGAAATTCCCAGGCCTGCCAATGATGTGAGAGAGGACATCTTGTGAATGGGTGGGTACAGCTTGTTCTTCTGGGCAAGACAAACAGTGCGGGACTCTATATGCCAGGGTGGCTGAAGCCCCAGTGTCCAAGAGGCTTGCCCATTCCTCCCTGCCCCTGGCACTGAACCCAAGCTTCCATGGGGCACTGTGGAAGAGGCCTTGCCTGATGACAAGTAGACCAAACACGACCGTCCGTCCTCTAAAAACTGCACCCTTGGAATTGGGGAAAGGCAGAATAACCCTTTCACTAGCTTGATACTTAGCCTCTTGGGCTTCTGATAAATCCTTTTGAACAACCAAGCAGTTTTGTTTTTATTTTTAATACCTTGGCCTGAGCCCTTTAGATGCAGCCATTCTCAACCTACAAACAAACACACACACACACACACACATTGATTCAATTGACAAAGGTTTTTAGGGAGTCTACTATATGTAAGGCAGCACACTAGGGGTTTCTCGGGGACATGCAGATGACAAAGACAGTGTCTCTCCACCCAGGAGCTAGAGAGAAGGGGGAAGAGTCAAGCAAACTTCATAATACACAGCCGGATGAAACGAAAAGAGACTTAGATCAAGTGCTGTGAGAGTTTGGAAGAGGGACGGGGCAAATAACATTGGGGCTGGTGGTGGGAAGGCAAGTGACAGCCTCATGGAAGAGGTGGCATTTGACCAGAGATGAGGATGAACAGAATTAACATAGTAGGCATGAAGGAAGAAAATGTGCCTGAGGACACAGCCAGCACAAATGCAGAGGCATACAAGTGCCTGGTACAGCTGGCATGCAGGGATGGCTGAGGAACCGCGGGGGCAGCCAGCGGGATCCATCAGAGGTGAGTGATGAGAGCTGCACGGCAATTTAGGGGATGACTCTAGCCACAGTGTGATGAGTAAATCTTAAATGGAGAGGCAGCGCCTGGTGCTAGCAGTTCGAGGCTGAGACAATAGCTGAGAACACACGAGAAGTTCAGCAACTAGGAGAGTTTCTAGTTAATCGGAAGGAAGAGTTGGAAGCACATTCTAGAAGGCTGTGGAAGAATGAACACAATCCACCAACTGCCTGGAAGGGGAGTGAAGAGTCCAAGATCATAGGTTCTCCCTGGCTGCCTGATGGGGCAGTGGTGTTGAGTAACAGAAACAGGGAACAAAAGAGGAACAAGAGATTATTCTTTGTAGCATGAGTATTAGTAGCAGTGTTAGTAGTAGTAGTAGTATTGTTAGTGGAACAAAGACAAAAACAGCTCACACTTAATGAGATCCTATAGTCTGCCAAATCTGGGAGGTTGATGGGCTCAGCTTTGCATTGGAGGTGTGTGGGCACCGATGTGCAGATGAATTCTAGGGTAAATCTGGGGTGCAGGCCAGGGCTGGCCATCTAACGCTCAGAGACATTGAAATTTGAGTAACCACTAAAGCTGGGAGGATAGGTTAGAGTGGAAAAGGACAGAGACAGACCAGAACTGAGACCAGCCCTAGGTCTCAGACACATTTTATTCGGTCTACATAATGCATTTTGAAATAATTTTAATTACTTCTCAAACATTTAAACACTAGGAAATGTCATATCACATGAAAAGTCAGGTTTTCCAGCTTCTCATGGAAAATGAGATGCTCAGGAACACGGCGCCTGCACTCCTCTTCCATAGAAACGGCCTGGAGTGGAGCAGGGGCTGCTGCTTCTCATGGGGCATCAGAGGCCCAGTCAGCCACATGCTCCACCCCTCCCTATCGCCTCCCACCTGGCTGGCATCACTCATGGACTTTCATGGCTCCTGACCCCTGGCATAGAGTGGGAAGCAGCCAGGGTGGCAGCTGGAGGAGCTCATGAAGAGGCCAGAGGAGGATGAATACCATGAAACAGAAACCAGGACCGGGAGGAGAAGGGTCCGGGGTGATGCTAAGGGGGTGGAAGCTTTGTGTGTCATGGTGGTGGTGGGGTGGCCCTTCTATCACTACCCCTCTCCAATGATGTGAAGATGAGGAGGTAAGGGAACACTCAACATTAGTCCCAGGGCTGAAATCTTTCACAGTTCACGTTGGTGCAGATGTGTGGAGCTGGAGGTGGATAGCTTCCCATCCTAGGCTGGGCATGGGCCTTTCCCTAAACACTCTGTTTCTACTGCTGTGGATGGTGACAGCATAATCCTTTTGCAGAAAACTTTCATTATTTGCTTATGTCCCTAATGGGACCCAAAGGCCAGTAAGTTAACAACTGTGCTGCTCAGGGCCATCACTTTCATCCACATCTAAGGTCACACTGAAAAGTTGCCTCACCTCAGCTGACCTTCTCCCTGACTGTGATCCAAGAGGGAAAGTCGGCCAAAGAGGAAAATAATGTGACTTCATGAAATATTCTGCACACGTTTACTGAAGGAAGCAGAATGTTTTCCAGGGCCAAGAAAAGCACTTTACAGGCTGCAGAGAGTGAGGGGACCAGGGTGGAAAATCTGGATTCTCCCCCAAATGTAAGTCTCCGACTCACCGGAGAGCAGCAGAAAGAGAAGGGTCAAGAACTCGGGGAGTCATTTTGTGCTCCCCTTCCTGCTGTGACCCTCATTACAGTGGAACTGAACTAGAGGATGCTCAACGACTCAGAGGCACACCTGACCCTGAGAATGAGACACTTAACAGTTTTTTCCCCAGACTACAGAGTAGGTGTGGCTGCAGGGGAAAGCAAGCAGACATGCTCCCTCCTGAGGCTAGCTCTAACGGGACACGTAAGGGACTGGGGCCAGGTTTGTATAAGAATGTCCTGGGAGGCCTCCTGCAAGCCAGGAAGGCTGAAAGATCTAACAGCTTCTCTGACATGGAGGGTTGGTCAGGATCTGCAGCATCACTGCTTGTGTTTGTGTAATTTTTCACCACTGAGTTACTGTGTGACCTTGGACAAATTTCTTAGCTTCTCTGGGCCTCAGATTTCTCAACTCTAAGATGAAGACTTTCCTATATTTCAAAAAGTTATGATGAGTCCATGAGAGAATTAACATAAAGCGCCTGGCACAAAGAAAGCCCTCAAGAAATGCTAGTATTGTGACTATCTTGTTGCTGTCCTATGCTCGAATACACTGTCCCTAAACACTCTGTTCCCACTGCTGTGAACAGTGGCAGCACAATTCTTTTGCAGAAAACTTCCGTGATTTGCTTATGTCCCTAATGGGACCCAAATGCCAAACTTGTAAGTCCATCCTGTTCTACTTAAAGGCAGCGGCAC